GGTGGAAACCGGGTGGAGGGGAGCTATGGGGGGAAAAAGAGGAACAACTGTAATCATCTGAACAATAAAGATTTATTTTTTAAAAAAAGAATAATGAGGAAGGGACCAAATCTTGCATAGGTATCTTTATACACATCTATGAGTGTACCTGTCAGATAGTTTCTTACCTGAGGCATGGTTAGATCTATGGGTCTGCACATTTTCAATTCTGATAGACATTGTCAAAATGCTCCTGGACCCTCTTTGGACAGCTCCTGATACACTACATATCCAACATTAAGTTCAATACATTAAGAGAAATCCACACAAGGAATATATGTGGTCATTAGATGTGATAGAGTATCTTTAATGGCATGGAGAAATTTCCAGGGTAGATTGTTGTTTGATTATTTAAATTTCAGTCATTTGAATTTTAAAAATAATATATCCTGATCGTCCCAATTCAAACAACACAGAAATGTTCAAAGAACATGTTAACTGTCTTAGCATTGGCTTCTCCAACTGTGCCCTCCCAAATGTACCCACAGTAAACATCATACTGTTTCCTTTGCTTATAAGAACATATATGTGGCCCTGGCTGTTGTGGCTCAGTTAGTTGAGCATGCTCCTATGCACCAACAGGTTGCTAGTTTAATTTCTGGTCAGGGCATATGGCCAGGTTTCGGGCTGGATCTGTGCAGGAGGCAGCCGATCAATGTTCACTCACATTGATGTTTCTCTTTCTCTCTCCCTTCCTCTCGCTCTAAAAATCAATAAAAACATTTAAAATATATATGTACATGCATTTGTTTACACAAATGGGATCATACTATGCATATTATTCTATAACTTTGTTTGCCTCAAGCAATATATGTGGAAACATTTTGAAGATAATACCTATTAGTTCCACCCTTTTCTTTCAACGAACTGCACAGTCTTGCATGATGTGTATGCACGATCATTTACTCAGACACTCCCAGTATTCTCCTACTGATAGTGGTTTACAAGTTTTTTTCTACTAGAAACAATATTAATAAACATCCTTACATACAAATACATACATCTTTACATGCTGATACTCTAAATTAGATCAGATAATTATTTGATAATTTTTGTTCATATCTGTCTGTCGATGTAGCTTATCCTTAAATATTAGAAAGAAAGTAGGAGTTGAGATGTGATTTTTACCTAATTTTGCTTTTCTGTTTACCAATATTTTATACAACCATGAATTTCTTTTGTCACCAGAGATAAGAATGACAAGTGTCACTAAAAAAAAGAAAGACATTGTTTTCTAGGGTTGAGCTGAACTCTCCCTCCCAGTGTTTTCCTCCCCTTGGCTCTTACAGAAAAGCAGTTCAGGGCTCACTTGTGTCTGACATGGTGTGTGATGTGAAGAATGATCAATCTTTAATAACTGATAAATAGTGAAACTGGAATCCAGCTTTTCTGACTCTGGGAGAGGGTTCTGGCTTTTTCCATTTAACCATATGATCTCACCAGTTCTACTACTGTTTTCCTTGGGACATCTCTCCTCTTTTTGCTTCTCACTAGGTCAACAAAGTCCCCTTTAAAGTATTACTCTTGGAATTGAACTCAGTTGGGAATAAAGCTGAACTTTCACCTCCCCTTTCCTAGATTCTGCTCCTCCACTAATATGTCCTCACACTGAATCAATGTTTCTGGCAGCCACAGCACTTGCCCATTATTGATCTGGTAGGTTTTCCACATCTTTGTGTGCAGTTGGTTTCTTGACCCTCAGTGTAGGAGTCTTCATTTTTTTTAATGTTTATTTTATCTTGGATCTAGCCAATTGTGTGCAGTTGGTTTCTTGACCCTCAGTGTAGGAGTCTACATTTTTTTAATGTTTATTTTATCTTAGATCTAGCCAGTTCTGATCTTGTGGGATGTTATCTGGATCCTGGTTCTGTATATAATAGATAATTAGCATTTTAGGGCCTTGCTTAAGATCTGTTTTTCTTTCAAGACCCTAATTTCCTTTGGGGGAACCATGTCTTTTTCCCTGTGTGGGCAAGCCTGGGGGGAGGACAGTTCTGGGGGCCTATTACAGAAGCTGAGGGGTACAGATCCTTCTCTCAGTGCCTCCTGTGAACTCTCTAGTGAGCCTCCTTTGGGATGTCAAGATCCCGTCAACAGGTTCTCTTCCTCATTTCATGCCATTCATGCTCCTGCAAAGTCTCACTGGCCTAACAGTGCCCCCGCCCCCCTCCCGCCCCCGTCAGGCAGCATCATCCAGCTGCTCCCTGGCTCCCTCTTTGGAACCAGGAACCCAATCGCATTGTTTTTCGAACCATCAATTGGTAGGGCTTTTAAGATTCCAGACAAAAGCAAGAGAGATTATAACCCCTTTGGCCAGAAGACAAGATGAAAGCTGATCTTATGGAAAGAGAAGACTGGCTGGGGTGGAGGTAAATGTTAACGTGGAGTGCCAGGTATAGGTGAGGAGTACCCTGACTCCAAAAGGAACTCCCAGTATCATTCTGGAGACTCTGGGACAGGGGATGGCTGGAAGGTGATTCCAAGTATATGGGGAATGGTCAATAGCTTCATGTACCAAGCACTCAGTCAGCCAGGAGCTATGCTACCCACCTTATATGCATTATTCTTTTTAAGTGATTACAACAACCCTATATATTATTATGCTCTCCTTTTTACAGCTAACAAGGTGAAACTCAGAGAGGTTAAGTAATTTGTTCAAGGTCACACAGCAAACAAGAGGCTGGGCTATAAGTCTGACTTTAATGGTGATGACATCATTCTGCACCTCTGAAAGAACCTCAGAAAGAGAAGAAGGGGAGATGAAAACCCCAGGCCTCCCAGGTGGTCCCTGCGGTGTTCGGAGTTTGAATCTATGAAAACAGGCCTCCAACTTGGAACTCTGTTGAAGGAACTTAAACAGTGTTGAGAGTTGTTGGGAGCTCCCTCCCAAAAGTACCTTGGAAGCTCTCAAAGAAAGGGAGAGAGAAGGAAAAGGCAAAGGTGATCTGGCTGGCAGTGATGAAGTCTCTTGCTTAGACAATGCCTGGGAGAGTTGGCTGACATTTTGTTTCTGGCTGGTCACTCTGGTGTAAACAAAGAAACAAAAGGCAGAACAGGTAGGAGACGGTGCAGCTTGGATAACCTTCTCCATGCTGTGCCCACAATCCTGAAGTCAGGGGCTTGGAGACTCACATTCTTTCCCTAAACTGGCCTAATTAAGCCTCAACGGTTCCTGAAGTCTTAACTCATTTTTTTCCCCCCCTCAGATTTTAGCTGCCTTGGATACCAGCTAAATGAACCTAAACTTTTAAATTTTTTGTTGTTAATAAATCTGATAATTTGATACACACTTTAAAATTAGCTGTTCCCTATTCCATTCCCTCTCACTTCCAATTCCTTTAAATTCTTTCTGGTATTTCTGATTATTTCTTCTAGTCTTACATCTGTTTTGTAAGCATCAGATTTATACTGCTAATGTTAAGTGTTTTTTACCCCACTTTTAAATTTATCTATTGACTGCTTACTAAGGAATATGAAGATTGAGCTCTTATATCACTTCCTACATTTTCCTGTACCTCTTGTTTATATGATTATTCTGCATTTTACAATACTAGAACTGCAAAACAATTATTCAAGCTGACTAAACAAATATTCAATTAGTATTCAAGAAGTGTAGTGTAATTATAATTCCTTTGATATATGGTCTATTGGGGTAAGTATTACTTTTGTGTGTGTGTGTAATTATTTTTTATTCCCATCCTCCCACCCCTTTGGCAACCATCAGCTTGTTCTTTATGGGTATATTTCTATTTTGTTTCTGTAGTGTCAGCTGTAACTTCTCTTTCATTTATTTTATTTATTTGGTCTCCCTCTCTTTTTATTCATGTGTTTGGCTAAAGGTTTGTTAAATTGTTTATCTTTTCAAAGAACCAGTTCTTAGTTTTATTGATCTTTTCTATTGCTTTTTATTTTAAAAAAACTTTTTGTTAATTCTCACCCAAGGATATTTTTTCCATTGATTTGTTGTTGTTGTTGTTGTTGTTGTTTAGAGAGAGTGGAAGGGAGGGCATGGAGAGAGAGAGAGAGAGACATCGATGGATTGTCTACCACACACTCCCCAACCAGAATTGAATCTGCAACCTTAGGTATGTGCCCTTGACTGGGAATCCAACCAGCGACTCTTTGGTCTGCAGGCCAATGCTCTAACCAGTGGGCACACCAACAGGGCTATTGTTTTTAATTTTTATTTTGTTTATTTCTGTTCTAATTTTACTTATTTCCTTCTTTCTGTTTCTTTGGGTTTTGTTTGTTCTTCTTTATCTAGTTCCTTCAGTTATAGAGTTAGATTGTTTATTTAGGATATTTCTTTTTTTCTTGAAGTAGGCCTATATAAATATGAATTTCCCTCTAGAACTGCTATTGCTGCATCCCATACATTTTGAAAAGCTGTATTTTCATTTTCATTTGTTTCAAGATAGTTTCTGATTTCTTGTTTGATTTCTTCTTTGAGTCATTGGTTGTTTTTCCTCCACTTATTTGTTTTTTCCTTCTCCTTCCCCCATCCCCCTCCATGCTTTATGTTATTGATGTCATATTTTATTTA